GATCATTGCGACTTCGACACCATGGCGGACGCTATCACCGAGTCGACGGCGAAGCTCCAGCTCGATGAGGAGACGGGCGAGATGGTCAGCAAGGGCGAGCTGAAGAAGCGCCAGGCCAAGCGCGCAAAGAAGGCCGCCGCCGCGAAGGCAAAGGAAGCGAAAGCAGCTGTTGCCTCTGCGGCTGGCGCTGATAAAAAGGAAGCTCCCAAGCCTGCGAAAAAGGAGGAAGAGGCTGTCATCGACCCCGAGGCCATTTTCAAGCAGGGCTTCCTGGAGGAGGTCTACAAGGAGCGTCCCGTGAAGCCCGTCGTTACGCGATTCCCTCCTGAGCCCAACGGCTTCCTCCATATCGGACACGCGAAGGCTATCGCGGTCAACTTTGGCTTTGCCAAGTACCACGGCGGACAATGGTCAGTGCTCCACGAGGTTCGTCGAGACGACCGCGCACAACTAATCGGTGGTCTTTAGTCTTCTGCGATACGACGATACGAACCCCGAGAAAGAGGAGGAAAAATACTTCACGGCTATCAAGGATATGGTCACTTGGCTTGGATTCACACCTGCCAAGATCACGCATTCGAGCGACTACTTCCAGCAGCTCTATGATCTTGCTGAGAAGATGATCAACCTCGAGAAGGCCTATGTCTGCTTCTGTCCCGACACTGAGATCAAGCTTCAGCGAGGTGGCGAGAAGGGATCATCGCCGCGATACCGTTGCAAGCATGCCGAACAGACTGTAGAAGACAACTTGACCAAATTCAGAGGCATGCGCGACGGCCAATATCAGCCGAAGGAGGCCTTCCTCAGGATGAAGCAAGATATCACCGATAACAACGTGAGTCAACCGAAAGGTCTATTTGCATGCTCTCCTACTGACCTATGAAGCCTCAAATGTGGGATCTCGCGGCATACAGAATTCCCAAGGAGCAGGAGCATTTCAGGACTGGGAACCAATGGAAAATCTACCCAACGTAAGTGTCTTGGCTGCTGGCAAACCATGGCGATTAACACCCTTAGGTACGATTTCACGCATTGCTTGGTCGATAGCATGGAGAACATTAGGTTTGATTCCTCTGTACGTCTTTCTAGTTCTTGGCTGATACGACTAGCCACTCGCTCTGCACTCGCGAATTCTTGCTCTCGCGTCAAAGTTACGAGTGGCTCAACGCGGCGCTTGTTGAACATCAGCCTATGCAGCGCGAGTATGGCCGCCTCAACATTGCTGGCACCGTCCTCAGCAAGCGTAAGATCCAAAAGCTTGTCGAGGAGAAGTTTGTTCGCAACTGGGACGACCCCAGGCTTTTCACCCTGGTTGCCGTCAAGAGGAGAGGAGTGCCGCCGGCGGCTATCCTGCAATTCGTGAACGAGCTTGGCGTCACTACGGCCGAAACGCTCATCCAGATCAAGCGTTTTGAGCAATCCATCCGCAAGTATCTTGAAGCTACCGGTAAGATTTCTCTGTTTACTGGGCCTTGGAATCACTTGCCTAACGACCCCAGTCCCCCGTCTCATGATGGTCCTTGACCCCATTCCGGTCGTCATCGAGGATGCTACGGAGAGTATCGAGCTGGATCTGCCGTTCTCACCCAAGGACCCCAAGATGGGCTCACACACCGTCAAGTTCACGTCGACCATCTACATCGACCGCTCTGACTTCCGTGAAGTCGATAGCAAGGACTACTTCCGTCTCGCCCCCGGCAAGACGGTCGGTCTCATGAACGCGCCTCACCCCATCAAAGCGACGTCATTCACCAAGGACGAGGCGACCGGCAAGATTACCGAGGTCCGTGCGGTGTTTGACAAGGAGGCCAAGAAGCCCAAGGCCTACATCACCTGGGTTGGCTCGGAGGGCTCAAGACGCGTAGAGGCCAGGGTACACAACTCGCTCTTCAAAAGTGACAAGCCCGAGGACGCAGAGGGCGGATTCCTGAATGACATCAACCCTGACAGCGAGGTCATCTACCCCGAGGCCATGATCGAGAGCGGCTTTGATGAGGTCAGGCGGCGGGCGCCGTGGCCCGAGGCTGCTGGCGAGAGTGAGCTGGGCAAGGGCGGACCTGAGAGCGTGCGCTTCCAGGCGATGCGCATCGCCTACTTTGTGAGTGGCCAATGCATTGACCCGCTGTCTTTTGAATGCACCTGCTAACTTGATATAGGCCATGGATTCGGACTCCACAGACGACAAGATTGTCCTCAACAGGATCGTGTCACTCAAAGAAGACGCTGGGAAGAACTAGACGAATTCACGGGCGGGTCGAGAGCATAATGTCGTTGATTAATGCCTGTAATGGTAGATACGAAATCAAGCATTAGTTTCGAGTCGCCGATTAACACCGTGATCGATAGGAGATGCTGGTGCTTCTCATGAACTTCAAGAAGGGAACGAAGACACGGGGGCAACGATGAAGCGGGGGAAACATCTCCGGGGCGCATGAGTAGACGGATGCTCCTGCTCTGTACGTGCTCGGTCATATACCCCCGGCCGCATTGCGCTTGAACTGTCGCCACCGCCTGCGTCTCGTCGGCGGCCTTTCCCCAGTACCAGGGCTATTGCATTTAGCATCGCGTCGGCGTGATCGAGATCATCATGCGGGATGAAACGAAATCATGCCAGCACTTAGGCCATACCTTCAGGTAACCCTCATCACCTTGCAATGCAACCTCGCACGATGCCAGCTTTAAGGACTCGAATGCAGCAACATGTATCTCCGCGCACGGGTGTGGAGATCGGAGATGTCCACACGACCTTTGCGTGGGCCGACTTCTCTCGTAGGATTCCTGACGTTCACATCATCGCTAGTACTATCCTGGTTTTCATCTTGATATCAGTTCACCTTACTATGACGCTCGGCTGCTTTTTTGACCACCCGTCTCCTCTGGCGTCGGAATTCCTCTTCAGAACAGACCTCGGCCAGGGACGTGAAGAGGCTACAGCGACCCCGCTGGAGACGAGATGTCGGGCTCTACAAGATGACAGTGCTGCCGGCGGGGCAAATCCCACGGGGCAAAGGTTGAAAGCATATTGTGCTGCCATGGTAAGGAACCCGACAGCAACTCCATGTGGCTGCGAGTGCAACTGTTGACGGCTGCAGCGATACGCATATCTGTTGACCAGGCCAGAATGGGCCTACTATGACGAGGAGGTTTTGGCATTGGGCATGACATGAAGATCAGGCTTTCGAAGCCAACTTTGGGCATGGGCATTGCCTCTCGAGAGCATGGCCAGTGAGGCCGGCTACATGGGGTTTCGCATCACGGGATACCCTGTATCAGGTAGCGAGCACAAACAAGAAAAGCAGATTTGTCAGTACACGACTTGGGACAGCCGGGGAAACAAGGCGCCGTGCGTGACGGAGACCAGGTGAGATGGAGGGACGCCGGGTTCAACAGCGACACGTGGGTTGTTAAAGAGGCTTGGGAGCCGCATCCTCTCTCTCTCTCTCTCTCTCCCCGTAGGCTGTTCCAAGGTGAGGCCGGCATCTCGCATCGTGCACTTGCCGGAAGGAGGCCCAAGAGGTCCCTGGGATGATCAAATAGATCTGCGGCTGGGCCTTGGGTGAGGAAGAATGCAGGGTGTTGGTGACGCGCATGAACGGTGGCCGGGCCGACCCCGCGCAGGAAGGTGATGGCGGCTTGATGGAGGGGAGATTGGGAATCGGATGGTTCGGCCTCGGCTCTGATGGCCAGATTGAATGGCCTGGCAACACGCGAGGGTGGTCAGTTTGTGGTTCATCCATGCGTGCGTGGGTAGGTGTGTGCTGTGTGCTGTTGATGATGGTCAGCGTGAGGCAGACATAACGTGTGGCAGGTACAAAGTCTAAGTCAAAGGGCAAGCGCAAGCGCGCTGGGGGAAGGCGCCATGAGATCCAGATCCTGACGAGGCGAGAGCGACCCGAATTGCGCTGAGGCAACTTTTAGGGGCCTGGACCTGCCTGTGCTGAGCTTGTAACATCGCCCACTGACAGCGACTCTTCGCCATTTCCTCCCTCAGACCATCAGCCATCCGTCTTCCTTCTGTCACAAAGTATCAACCTTCATCTACTGTGCCGACCTACAAATCAATACTCAAATCGAGATCGATCACACATCATCCACGATGATGCTCGTCAATGGAAATCGACCCTCCTGCCTTGACATCCATCCCGACCGACAGCTAGCTGCAGAACGCCTGTCCGCCCGGACCACCTGATTCTCCCGCACGGCAAAGCCAGGGTCTGCGACACGACTCCTGACAGCCCAGACAACCCTGAGGTGCTCTTACACGCGCAGCCACCGCCTGGGTTTCACGGAACCCCTGCTGGACCGCTCGCCGTGTTTGTTTCACCAACACCCCCCCTCGCGCAAGATCCCATCTCTGTTCGGCCATGTCAGTCAATCGACCTCGCTGCTGAATCGCTCGATGGCTCGTCCGCGCTGTAACACACCCTCTCCTTGCTGCGATGGACACTCTCCTTGCTGGATGAACCCTCTCCCTGCGGCCATGGGCCCTCTCCTTGCGGCGATGGACACCCCCTCCGGGTCGACCCCTGGTTCCAAAGGGGTAGGACGTCCAGCTGGGAACGACAGCAGCACGGTTGTTGCTAGGCTTCCCTTCCCGTGGACAATGGCACGGACGATGCGCTGGTGCTCGAGCGTCGACAAACATGGCATCATCACGGACTGACTTCTGCTTGTTGTTTTCCTTTTGCGCGCCTGTGCTTCCTTATTCTCTGCTTTTGTCTTCCAGTCTGACTCTCCTCCCATACCTTACGATTCCGTGACCTGCTTCGACCTACCCAAGACGAACCCGTTCTTGACCAATCTCGACATCGACTTCTCATCACCTACCAACTTGCATCAGTATTCTCACCAACAAAGTGCGGTACTCTCAAAAACCGCCCACTGGCTATTCATCACCTCTCCTACCAACTCTTCTCCCAGCCAGCATTTACTGCCATGACGATTGCTAGGTAACACGCGCTGCGCGGCTACGAAGTCGCCTCTCGCCATCCGCCTCCAACATGGCCACGGCGAGAGCCATGGCCAATGTGCCGCGGGGAGGCCAACGCCAGACCCTAACCGGTCTCGATACCTATCACCAATACATGGTCCAGGAGAGCCGGATGAAGCCAGATCCTCTGCGCATACAACGCCCAAAAGCTCGACTGTCCAGCGCTGACAGGGTTGAGCGGCCTTATACAGCACGCTTCGGCTCCTTCAGCACACCACATCCAACAGGACACACTCCATCATCCAGCCAAGAAAGTAATTTAAAGCGACCATCCTCTGCAAAGGCTGATTCGCCAACCATTTCGACTTCCGACTTCGCCCCCGTCTCCGACCAGACGACCCAAGGCACTCCCGTCAACTCACGCGCAAGACGTGTTCGACTCGCTTCGCCCGCATCGCGTCGCGGCCTGCTCGAGACACCTAGTACAGACCCAGCACCAAGCGAACCCCTAGTGGACGTCAACCTGCCGTGGCGACCGCCGTATCTCAAACGAAGGGTTCTCTTGTCGTTCGCGCTTCTCTTGGCTGGCTTGGTCGCCGTCATTGAGGCCCTCTTAGTCATCTCAAACCGCAACACAGGCGTAGGGCCTCCCACACGACTACTCCGCTACGCATGGCAGTATGCTCCGCCTGCCGTCGTCACCCTCGTCGCGGCCATCTGGACGCGGGTTGAGTACCAGGCCAAGGCAAGTGCGCCCTGGATCCGCCTGTCCCGTGGGCCGAGCGACGTCCGGACATTGACGTTGGACTACACATCAATGGTAGCACCTCAGGCCATATTCCGGGCGGCTCGAAACCGTGACTGGCTCGTTCTTGCTATCACACTGGCCGGCCTAGTTTTCAAGCTCCTAATCGTCTTCTCCGTTGCGCTTGTGACACCTGTACGGACCAATGTGGAAGACCATCTTGCGAGCATTGCGGTCCAACGTGCCTTTGTCGACAATGCGTCTGGATTACAAAACCCCAGCTCGATTCCGCTTTTCACCATGCTTGGGTTGCAAACGACCGATCTCTCTTTCCCAGATGGCACATCGAGAGACTTTGCCTTTCAGTCATTCGACGCCAACCTGCCAGCCACTGCCGAGCTTCGGGCGACGGTTGAGGGCTTTCAAGGACGCCTCGAATGCGAGCCGGCTCAAACGACGCTCAACAGTGTTCAGCTGCTGCAAGGATCGACTACACGACTTGACGTCACGGTTGCGGCGCCATCCTGTCGGACAACACAAAGCATCATGAACGACCTTCTCTCGAGCAATGCCTCGGCGGTGACACCCCGCGTCTTCATGGCTTTCCAAGGGGGTGACTGCGGCAGCACTCAGGCAAACGACGACCAGCGGTTCGTCATCATGGTGGGCACCATCACCGTAGATCCGGCGTCGTTCCCTCGCAATCCCAACGCAAGGGATGTTCCCCTGCGAGGCGCCCTGCCGCAGTCGGCCGCGGTGATCTGTCGACCTACCTATGATCTTGGGCCGGTGGAGGTGGTGAAAAATGGCACAGGTTTGCTTTCAATCAGGCGACTCAACAGCACGCGACCTCGGACTCTCAATACCATTCATCCGTGGGACTTGGCCAAGGCGCAGTTCGAACTATACGACGAAGCAATACTGAACGGCTCTGTTCTTGCCACCGACAAATACTACGACAACCCCGACCAAGTCGTCATTGATTCGGATGGCATCATCGACGTCATGATGGCCATGGAGGTCAAGGCGAATGGGGTGCCGCAGCTAGGAAATCTCCTCGACACTGCAACCCTTGATCGCTTAGCATCTGCATACTGGACGCAATTTTCGGCCCTTCTCGCGAGAAATGAAATTATGGCCGGGGCTAGGCAGCAAACTGTAGGCAGAGCAGTGCTCGTAGGAGAGAGACTGCTGGTTCGTACTGTGACCGCACACCTCATGGCCGCCCTTTTTGGCGTCATCGTCCTCGTGTGCCTGCTGGCCGTTGACATGGTACCCAGGCTCGGATTTCTGCCCCGAGATCCCAGCACAATCCTGGATATGGCGACTCTACTGGCACACAGTCGACCGCTGCTGCAGTGCCTACGGGGAACCGGCGCCGCTGATGAGACGACCATTCACGATCGACTTGAAGGGTCGACCTACCGCCTCGGCGTGGAGCCGTATGAGAAGACGACGAGCACTGGCTCTGGATACTTCAAGATCCTGGGCGGTTTTCCTCCACCACTGGATGCACCACTGTACTTTCAGCACACCGGGCAATGGAAGCGGCCCTTGTCATTACAGCTTTGGACAAGAGGAGCTGTGATTACCATGCTTGGTGGCATCATCGCGAGCTTGGAAGTGGCCTTGCGAGCGTCTCGCCGTAACCAGGGCATCGCAGGCGTCAGCGACATCGATTACCTCCATTTTCTGTGGACGTCAGGTCCCGCCCTGCTACTGCTGGGCCTCGCTCTTTACCACAGCGCTGCCGACTTTGCCACTCGAAGCCTGGCGCCCTTTGCAAAGCTCAGGGGCGGCGGTGAGCTGAGTACTACGGTGGGACTTGACTTTCTCAACAAGTCGAAGCCTCGCGTCATCTGGTCTGCGCTGCGAACCGGGAACCCGTCTGTGCTCATTACGAGCATAACCGCATTCTTCGCTTCGCTGGTCGTCATCTTTTCTGGTGCTCTCTTCACACCCGTACCGGTATGGGAGACCCGGAATGTTGTCCTCCAGAGTGTAGACTTTTTTGCCAATACGACTGTCCTTCCAGCAGGGTTTGACCCTGACTCTCTGCCGCCCGCCGACAGTGACGCGGTGCTGTCATCCCTAATTCTGAACGCCAATGCCTCGTTTCCTGCCTTCACGTTCAACGACTTGAACTTTCCAGCAATGCAGCTGCAGGGTGCGCTACCCAACGACGACCGCGAGCTTCAGGACATTGCTATCCAAGCAACCATTCCAGCACTTCGGCCTAACCTGCAGTGCCGTCTGTACCCGCAGTCCGAGATATCGACCAACATGACAATCGACAACCTCTTCATCAACGTCGACGCGGAGCCTTGTCGGGTCGGTAACTCTGGACAGCAAGCAAGCAACGCACAGTTCCCGGCGTTTCCAGGGGCCTCCGTTCCGACGGCCCTCTTTGGTCGGGCTACCTCCCGTCGAGACAACGGCGCGCAATGCTCTGACTTTCTTTACATCTGGGGCCAACTCGATAACCCCAGCTCGCCATCATCGACCGTGTCGTCTGTATCGGCCATGGGATGCAACGAAACGCTTGAGACAGTGGCTGCGTTGACGACGCTGCGTGGTCCATCGCTTCGGATCGATCCAACGATACCACCGCGTGTCACAGGCGCGACGGCTACACCAAATGCTGTGGCGCTACCGGTGTTGCAGTACAGTCGCCTCGCTAATCTGACCGCTACGGGGGGTAATCTGCTTGACCCTTTTTTCTCTGCATTGACCTCGTCAGACGTTGCAGTTCCGGCGGCAACCCTGGGTGACACAGGTCTCGATATCGCAGGCCGCGTAGCAGACGCCATTGTCGCGCAGCACAAGATCATCCGCGCACAAAACCTCAACCTCAACATCCGACGCTCGCTCTCTGCGCAAGGCAACTTTCCCTTTACGGGCAACGGCGTCACCATTGGCACGGGCGGTGATACGGCAGCGGCACAGCCTCGAGTCGCGGGCGTGCTGCGGAGCGTGAACAATAGCGGCGCGCGCAGGCTCGAGGTGGACGAGATTGCGGCGCGCGTGCTGCAAGCCATTCTCGGCGTTGTGTTGCTTGGATGCATCGTGGGGCTGGTCCTTGCCATGATTGGTGGACTCGGCATCCGCGGAGAAGGCATGGTGCCGCGACAGGGCAGGAGTATCGCGTCCATGGCGGCGCTGTTGGCTGACGGCAACGTGTTTGGGTTCCTCGGGCGGGGTGCCGAGTGGATGAAGCAGGAGGAGATTGAGGCAGACTTCAAGGATGGAGGCCTCGTCGTGGGCTTCGGACTCGGATGGGAGGTGGTACGGGCGAGGCGGCGAGGCGATGGGGTGCGCAGGTATGGAAGCGACCTTCTCGGGGATGAGGAGCTCGAATTTGGGCTCAAGGTGGTACGGGCAGGCGGATGGCAGGGCGGAGTCGAGGTCGGACTCGGGACGATGGCGCGCGTTACTCGCGGGCAGCGAGGGTTCGTGCGGACTCGGTCCTGAGCCGGCGGACGACATGACGACATGATGTTACATTGAACGATTTTCTTTTGTCTAGCGAATGCTTCGGGGATACTATTGTTAGGAATACCACGAGGGAAGAAGGCAGAGCCATGGTCAGGGGGGGGGGGGCTATTATTATGTTGGGCTATGAA